CTCTAGATCAGACAGCCTACCACCTGGGAGTAAATCGATGCCGCTATCCTCGCACGAGGATAGGGCTGTTTCCATAATCAAATCCATAACAAAAAGAAAAGGAGAGAGAAGACAACCCTGACGAATACCACTTTCCGTGGTGAACTCGGGCGAAAAGTGCCGTAAGCTCGGACTCGGCTTCGGCTATTAGTATACAGGGATTGTAATATTGAAATTAACTTCTCGGGCACATCTTTCAGAGAAAGGCAGCGCCAGAATTTAGAGCGGTCGACTGAGTCGAAAGCCGCTTTCAGATCCAGGAAGACAGATGATAGGTCCACGAAAGGAATGTCGGTGTTCCAGAGTGAAGATGTGGTCGATACAACCTCGACCGGTTCTAAAACCAGCCTGGTTCTCACGCGTGCACCGTTCACATGCGGCAGACAATCGCCGGAGTATGATCCCAGCGAGGAGTTTAGAGATGATGTTGATTAAACTAATTCCTCTATGGTTTTCACAATAGGATGTCACCTTTCTTGCAAATCGGTATGACGACCGATTCACACCATTCAGTTGGAACCTGTTCTCTCTCCCACAGATTTTGATGGGGGCCAGTTGAACTGAGCCTTGAAATGTTCAGCCCAATGGTTAAGATGGCGTTGCTGACTGTGAATCAGTGTGCCATCGGATTCACTAGTTACCTCACACCTATTTTCCTAGGGCCCGTATTCCCAATCAAACGGAAAAGATTGCGACTATTACCAATAGCCGCAGTCTTCTCCTTCTCTCTACAATTTCCTGTCCACAACTTTTCGCGGCCATTTCTCAGATTTTTGATGAGCTGGCGTTTAAGGGATTTGTGCGCTATGTCATCCGGAGGGAGGGTTCTGCGGGCGTCCAGCGGGACAGCCGGAATCGACGATATCCATCGTTTGTGTTTTGAGCTTGTGACAGGGTCCGACGTTGTTTTTATCGATATTTGCATAGCTTCCTTGATTTGCTTCCAGTGTTCATTGAGTCCTTCGGCTGGTGATTGACCTGATAGGCGATCGAAGAGTTCCGCTTCGAAGGCCGATTTGCAACAATCGCTGACGTTGTATCGTGGGAATCCGTTGGTGGTGGCCTTTTGCGGTTATTTGCCAAGCGTAACGAGAATTTGGCTGACAGCAAAGCATGATCCGTATCCACAGATGTGGGCCGGTAAGAACGGTAGTCTTGAATCGACCCTCTCCAGCGGTAACTGATGGCGATGTGGTCGATTTGAGTCCAGCGCTGTGAAGAAGTTGGCGGTCTCCATGTAAGGCGGTGCCGTTTCTTGTGCGAGAAGTTCGTGCTTGACAGAAACAGTCCGTGGTCAGCACAAAGTTGGAGTAAGCGTTCTCCGTGGTCAGTCCTGTTGGTTGGGATTGCATGCGAACCGCCAAGTAACCTCTCTGATTCGTCCAGGGATCCCACCTGAGCATTGAGGTCTCCAGCGACCACCCCAATGTCCGTTGCCCGAGCACTTCGGATCAGTTGGGAGAGATCCTTGTATAATTCATCCTTGATTTCAGGAGCACTGCAATCAGTCGGTGCATACACCGATACGACGAATAAGCACCGACGCTTCGCAGCTGTTGACCCATGCTGAGCCGTTGAGACGTGCAGCGCATAGTCGGCTACTGACTGGAATCCAGTCAAGAAGCGAGCGTTCATCCTTGGCACTTAGCGCAGTCCCAACACCGCGAGCTTCGGATACCGAATCACCTGACACACGGAGGGTGAATCGTGAGGTCGAGGTTAGGTTAGGAGAACGCAGGAAAATGTTTGGGGTAGGTTCTTGTATGCGTGTTTTGGAGACACAGCATACATCTAAGTTGAAAGTTTTAAGGGTTCTAGCCAATGCGGCTTACTGACCAATCTGATCGAGTGTGCGTACATTGAATGCGGCTAAGTGAAAGGGAAATTTTGGCTTCGGGAATCCCGTAACTTCTATTAGTTGGGCTCGCTGGTAAAACGCTGGGTGATATTCGATGGGTGGCGTAAACAGACGTCTGGGGATATTAGGGATTGAGAGGAAGAACTAAATGGATCGGAAAGAGGTTTTTCCCGATCAGTGTCTAAGACTTTAGGGTACTGCATACTTCGCGGTTACCGACATCGTCGAAGGGGATTTTCCTTGGGAACCCCAACCGGAGCCTTAGACTCAAAAGTCTGACCCGCAAGGCTGTGGGGCGTAAATCCAACGCGGGAGTGTGAACGAAGCACCCGTGTGGAAGCTTCTAGAGACCTGTCACGCAAGACCTTTGAATTTCGGTTAGGTTTCTTGTTCGCTGGTGCGTTGATTGTCGGTCCGCTATTCGGGATCAGCCCTTAGCCTCATGCACCCAATGAGACAAGCGGAACGTAGACGGCACAGCACCTTATTGGCTGGGGGCTGCCCAGCTTGGGTGGGCGGTAGCTGTCCCATGAAGTGCGAAGACTTCTCCCACCGTCGAGAGGAAGCCCCAGGTACCTCGCTCCTACGTCCATCTAGTGGGGTTTTTTGACCGGTAAACTGCCCCTCACCGTGTTTATTTACTGGAGTGACCTCTCTAGAGGCGGATGTGGATAGATGGAGGCCAGGAGGCGCCTAAGCAGCTGGCCTTGTGAGACTGATCTTCGTCTGGCCTCTACCTGTTGACCTTCCAGGTATGATTGGATCTACGGCTGTGAAAAGCCATCCTGTATAGCTCGTAGGGTCATTGAGGCGCGCAAGCCATCACACTACGTCAAGGTGCAGTCTCGTCGTGATAGGCATTTATTTATACCACATCCTCTTCACGTGATTTTCATCTACCTGTACCGGAAGCTGCAAATAAGGTGCATTACAGCAGACAATAGTTAGTAGTCAGTACTTCTACTAACCAGCGGAGCATTGTTTTTTCCTAATTCGATTTGATGAAGGATTTTCATAGCAAAACATTGTCAAGAACACGGAAACTTACCTCGAGATTACCCACTCGCTTCATCCTGTATACACCAAAGTACGCAAAACCTATTACTAAATTCCTCTACTCCGTGGATTCTTTCTACACGTAAATTCAAGGCCTTAGAACTGATCGAACTTTGCCTCCATACACGCCAACTTTCAGTTTCAATGAAACGTCATCCATACACCAAATGTGCTTTGATGCAACATACGCCACCCATCTCCTTGATTCTTCTTTCGCTGCTCGTCACACAACCACCCATATACGCTGAGTTAATTTCGGACCATTTTTCAACTATTGTCGACACCCAATCTTACAGCATCAATTCGCACTTGGAAGGGAAGAGCTCATGCCGAACGGGGTGATAAATCTTGCTAGTTTATGGAGTGTTTCTTGAGCGTCAACTATACACTCGACCATACAGACAAGGCCGTTAGCGTGTTCTTACTCATTCCACTTTCCTTCATTTGTTCATTCAGTATCAAGATTATACAGGCCAACTCTCCAGTCTACTTCCACGAAGAGGTTGAGCAGGAATGGCGAAATAGTTCACCCATGTCAAGAAACGATAACGAACGAGTCACTTGGGAATGGAGTCTCATTCGGCTAGGAGCATGGGAGTACAATCGCTCATAATAATTCACTGTACTTTAAGGTATTTCTTCAGAGTGAAGGGATTCTAATGATCAAAGGAATCGAAAGCTCCTTTCAGACTAAGATTAGCTGTGTTCGCTTGTAGTTGTTTTGTGTGGTGTAACTGCAGGATTTGGCGCAATGTAGAAATTAGATCAATACCGCCGCATTTAGATGGGGATCGGATATGTTATTCTCGGGTATTTGTCCTACGATGTTGTTTTTTCTTTATATAAAAACATGTATGATCAATTGCTCAAATTCCTCATAAATTACGTGATTTAAAAATCATCCCATGAGTCACATACGGTGCATCAAGTTTCAGTTTTTTATATCACTAATTCATCTGATGAGAAGCAAATGTTCAATAATAGAATAAATTGTAACATGGTGGGATGCTTACAGTGAGCTAGCAAGAATGGCTGTGCTATACGGAGTATAACGAAAATGAAAAACGGCTTAATTACCTGCCCGGTGATCGAGTGGGTAGTATACTTGCATTCCATTTGTGAGATCCCGGTTTCGACCTCCAGTTGGGTCAATCGATTCGCATTACTGATTAGACCCATTCAGGTCAAAACAGCTGTCCGGTTTTTCCTGGCTTCTCATTTTACGCTTCATTTGCTCTGTACACTACGAAATCTGTCTTATGATCATTGAACTTCTTGTTCCTGGATCAGGATATTGCTAATATAGTCGTCGATTAACCCTTCATGATAGATGATACCGAAAAAACTGTGCAAACAAAAACGGATGGTCCACGTATTGAGTATGCCATAGCCCAACAGTATGACGTAATTGACTTTTGTTCAGAAAATCAAACGATGACTGAATGACCGAAAAAACGCCTATTGAGATTACGAAAAGATCAGTGCCGTCGGTGGTATTCGAGCCCACACATGGACGTCCCTTGGGCTTTTTTCCTTTATTTGTCATAGAAAACAGCTTAAATGCCAAACGGTGGATTCCTCATCTCCTTCTCTGTTAGGTAGATAGGCGTTTTCCAAGTATAAAACGATCAATGCTGTCGAACGGGCCTCGAAACTCAGTTAAAAAGTGCACGTTATGCCAAAGTGTGTGCGAGTTTTATGTGCGCGTTGGAATCAGATCTTTCCACAAACCGAAAACATGAGGTTCTTTCATAAAATTCAGAAAAACAACAATTATTGCGGGAGTTTTGTTATACTTGTGGCACTGTATCAATGTTACGGTAAAAGCGAGCCCTGCAGTTTTAGATTTTCGAACCAGGAATTCCATCACCATATACTTCATTTGCTTGACTGCAGCTTACTTCACAAAACAACTTTTATCGATAACATTCAAATTCGAATGCCTGTCTTGATGCTATCATATTTATATTCCTCTTCATCTATTTCTGTCTCTCATCTGTTCAAAGGTCTGTCGGAAATACACACGTGTGAATTCACATTTTGTCATATGAGTTTATGGCCTGCATTCAGTGCAAATTTGGACCCATCTCGAGTGTCGGATTATTACTACTTGGCTCATATCAGTCCCAATGAAGATCAGTCTAGTGGTCGCGTAAAGGGTACTGATGTGGAAGTGATTCGGCTTCCGGACAACGTTATAGTGGCAAACACCGCGATGGACAGCAAAGGATCAACCATTGCTGGGCTGTCCAACCTAGGTATGTGTATGGCTTTACAAGGGATACCTGAGGTCGATGGAACACCACCCGGACGGTGTCTGCTGATAGCCGCTTTTGAATCCGGTGACATGTTTCTTCTGGCACGAGGAAAAATTTTGGCCCGGTTGAAAAACGCCCTCGGTGAAGCGGTTCCCATCATGTCCCTGGCTGTTCTACCAGTCCCCTATTCGAATTCCAAAACTCCTTGCATGATTGCTTTGGGTGGTCCGAGCCAAGAGACTTCAACGCATACTTCAGCGCGTCCACTAGGTTTTTTCAGTCTTCTGTGGGGTAATTCAGAGGATGAAAACGACGTGAAGTTCATTTCATTACGTGACAAATTGCCTGTGCGATCTTGCGGTACCAGTTCATTATTATGGCGCCCAGACCACCGGATATTAGCTGTTGGGCAATGGGATGGAGAAATCCGGCTAGTCGAAACACGCTATACTGATAGATGGCGTGTTTATCATCTTGGATGGCTAGCTAGTCTTGGTGCGATTGACTCTGGCGAACTGCTAGGTGATTGGGCTGCAACGACAATACAACAACCTCATGGGCCAATTATTGATCAACAATCAACCACTGTGCGCGCATTGCTTTTTACACACGAGTCTCATTGGCTAATCAGTGCCGCACCAGCTAGTGCTGGTGCAGTTGGGAGTCTGTTGGTGTGGGACGTCTATCGGACAACAAACAGCGAAACGTTATGACCATCAATTTTTGCAACAAAGCCCTATACCCTTGTATGACTGTTCCTTTTTTTCTTGCAAATGATACAGACGGGGAGGGAGTGTTGGCACCGAAGAACAAGTGAAAAATTGATGGATATTTCAATCACTGATGGAACTTGAGGAATCGATACTTATAAAAGTTTTTAGTTGACAGAGTTCGAAACGAAAAAATTGAATAATATATTGAATGATTCTGGGTTCCTATATGTGCGGCAAGTTTGACAGTCATGTCAGGGAAAGTTGCAGCGCCATCTTCGGTTCAGTCGCAAACATAGCGAAGTTGCATGATTCAAACAAACTGTCGCGTGTTACAGTCCCCTCCTGACAAATCGAACTAAATTGAGATCTACGGAATTAGTTTAGAAAATAGCCCAAAACATTTCTGGTTCAATGTACTGTTTGAATGATTCCTTGTTCCTGTCGCGTATAGAAGACTACGCAAGACAGTGCATGTTATTCGCAGGGAACGTGTGTTTGCTATAGCCTGCGAAATAGAGCTCGTTTCTTTTCGATCGCGGACATCACACCCAAGATTGAAGTGCAAATTTTAGCAACAACTGTACGGTTTGAACTACACTCCTTACGGGGACCTTTTAACGCTCTGGCATTGCTCCTTCATCAGCGTCAATTTTTGAAACTAATATTGCTTCTTCTTCACACGCCGTTGTTTTATTTGGCATAGAAACCACAAATATCGGGAAATATAACATGCCTGTGACTGCGTTAGTTTCCGATTTTCGACGGGTACGTCATGAGTTCACGGTTAACGGTTTGGCTGTCAGAGTGATGCTCGCTCATCAGACGTGAGATTAGTTCTTCGGAAATATCGCTGTCTTTGAAGCATTCGCGGGTAATCAAATGCTGGTTTCTTTTACACAGTCAAATGAACTTGTATGCTTCCTGTACCTAACGGGAATGCGATCCTCCTCGATTAAACTATTCTTGCTTCTTGCTAAGCAAATTCCTTTGAAATGTTATGACCGATTCAAACTTTTTTTATTTCCACAGGCACTGTGTATAGCCTTACAGTATTGCAATTAAGGTCTCGACTCCTCGAAACCTCCTCCACGCCCCATATGTAAAATACATTTTGATTTGTAACTTGAGGTCTTCTGAAGGTGGGTCAACAAACTTGTCTGGCGCGCACAATGGAATCACTAGCTATTGATGGCTGCTGCTTATCGAAGATTCGAATTCAGGATCCCAGTAACATAAACAACTTAGTACGTTCTCGAAGTACTTTCTCTGCTGACCATAGCTGAGGCTTCATTTGTCCGTCGGATCCTCCTCAGTAGTCGTTTATGTGCGACACGACCCTATGGCTCAATCAGTGTCCTGATGGGAAGCACCGCCAGAAAATGGATGTTCACCTTCTTGGTATATGCCTTGACCAGTCCGAATGAAGATGATAAGCAGTTCTATGGCAAACGCATCGAACTCATTCAGATACTTATATACTCGCAGTCAAGAAAACTGAACACGTTAGAATATCGTATGAAACTTCGGTGTGCTCCGCAAGCTGAAAACGAGCATTCTCCGCTGCTTCAGTTCTGCACAGATCACCGACTGTTCCTGAGCAATATCAACTTCCTATAGCTCTCAGCGGACAAGAAAGAGTTGCTCCCGTCCAAAAGGCAAGCCAGCTCAAATTAACCACGCAATAGTGCACGAAAGTGTGGGATTTATGGTTATATACACTGATAATTGAAGCTGGGTAGGCTTATTATATTTGGCGAGGCACAGTACAAAAATTACAGGTCCTTTTGGGTTACTGCTTTGCTCTTCTACTCACCGACGGCCATTGAAAACTGTGTCCTCTTAGGATCATCTATTTCATTCAGTTGCTCGTATTCGCTATAACATATAGCTAAGGTGTTCAGCAACGTGGTGGAATGAAACAACAGTGCGATTAGATTAAACATGTAATGCGTTCAGCAGATTAAAAGAGGAGTGGGTGGTGTCTGCAATATTCACCAACGAAAACCCGCAAAAACTGGTGGACCAAAGTAGCCAATACAATGGAAGTGTTCGTTGCATCAGGAGTGGGGGTAATCAAAGGTTATTCCAAGTGGTACATCGCCTGGGAGGCCGGTGGATTTCGTTTAGGGAAATAATCAGTTATTAAAGTGGACTGGCCATTCGGAAAATTTATAACAGTTTGGTTACTGAGCGGAGAACTTTCATAGGCAATTCAGGGGCCCAGAGCTAACCATCTTGCTCCGGCAATCACAGCTGGGGGTCCATGGAAAGACGAAATCGTACTTGACAAAATATTGAAAATCGGTTCTCGTAGCTCGGGTGAACTGAATTCCATTTCGCCTATTCGCCGAGCTTGGCAATTTGTTTGCAAACATTTCCTCACCAGCCGAGGTGACATCATCAGTGCTTGTGAAGTGGCAAGCACCGATGGTGTCACCTCGGCTGGTGATGAAACGTTTGCAAACAAATTGCCAAGCTCGGCGAACAGGCGAAATGGAAATCGTACTTGTTCTGAAAAAAGGAAAGGCAGCCGGATCTGACGGGGCCCCATATTATCTTTATGAAAGTGGCTCCCCCATACACACTTACTGTTTTACTGCAACGAACCGAGGATCGATCTTGTTTCCAGTAAAGCTCAAAGCGATGAATGTGGAGTTACATACGTGATAACTTTAGTTCTGACTGTCACAAAAATGTAACCCTAAAGACTATCAATCCAGATTCAACATAAACATCGGTAGCCATTACAAAGTAGTAGTAGTTTGGATTTGAAAGAGGAAGGTAGACCAGGTTGCTAGAAACTTCGTAACACAAGTGACCAATCACAAAGTGAATGCTAATTTAGATACCAGTGGTCGAAAACCTCTACTTTCTTTGCAAATTTTAAATCGCGCAATCATCGAACAGAAGCAATCGCACTGTTACGGAGTATACGCGGTAATTCTACATCAATGAAATGCCATGTCTATACCTAGGGTGTCTCGTTGTAGCATAGGTTCCAGGTTCCACAACCATTAACCATGCACTTTCGTGCGCCGGTTTTGGCTGACCATATGGATGGATATGAGAAAGAAGACAAGGAAAGGTTGAAAGCAGGATCGAAAAAAAAATTTTGGATTTCATTGCACTAATTTTGCAGAGAAATCGATAAGATACACGAACACCACTGTTTGCGACACCCAACCATATCACTCAGTGACGCTCGTCACCCGTGGATCGTGATCTCTAGGTCCCCAGCCAGAGAGCCTTACGGGACCTATGTGACCCGGACTCCTGGTTAGGGTTTT